AGACTGTGCCTATTGACAATGAAACATTTAATTTCTCATAGTTACATCACTGGCCAAGGAATTGGTCCATCAAGAAGTTTATTAAAATTTTCCAGCTGGATTTGGGAATATCACGTGTTTTAGAACTGAACCGTCCCGAGACAAAAGTGAAACTTGTGAATTTGATATTTAGTAACTAAATTAATCTACAGCTTTGAAACACTGGCTACACTTTGTCTCTTTCAGCTAATCCCGTTGTATATAAAGGGACTGTGCTGGTAAATTACACAGCTTAGAGCATTCAGCTTCTTAAAAAAAAATAAACATACCTTGTTTTGCTTTTTGCCTTTTAATCATTCTCAAGTAGAGCTCAGTCTGAATGAAGGAGAACTGAAAACGGCTTGCAAGCCACTCTTTAACTGTATAGCTCCACTCTTTACTGTTTATGTACGTTCTTCTCAAGAAGAGCCAGTATACAACAAGAACAAGTAGCCTTTCAGTTACAGACTTGTGTCCACTAGAGGTTCTGATGACAACTGTACCTGTTTTTTTTGATCAGAGTCTAGAACCTGGAAAACCAGCAAATAGATTTTGTTTTCCTATCAGTGCTGTAGAGGAGCTTCAGAGCATTATGTGGTGATGACACTATGAAAATACTCCCTAGACTGTTTCAGTGGGTACTTTTTCATCATTCACAGGTATCACACAGTTCAGAATACAGAGGACTAGATTTCTCTTTCAGTTGTGAATTTCCAGTCCCAGGATTTTGGCTTATCTACCACCCAAGATACTTGCTGCTGCTTGGCAGTTCTTCATTGAATTGTCGATAATGAAGAAGATTGGGATACTATTATGGTTTGTTCACAGATTTTAATCATTTGCTGACATGCATGTTAGAGGTGAATATTCCCCAAAACATGAAGTATTTCCCCAATGAAGAAAAGAAGTCAGTAATATCTCCTCACATATCAAGGACAATATGTATAGGAGGTTTGTGATAACGTCATATACTAGTGTCCTCAAGGAAACTATATGTGCTACTCAAGTTAAAAATTACAGAATATGTTATCTTTTGCTGCCTTACAGTTATTTTATAGGGACTTTGATTTGCAAGTCCATTATGCCTAAGTCCACACATGTAAGTAGTCCAGTTTCTAATCAACATTCTTATGTGAATGAAGCAACACAAGCACACAAATTTTACTGAACTGGTGTTACATTATTTCACGTGTAAAATATGAAAATATATTTCCATTCTAATCCATTTTTTAACCTCAAGTTTTTTCATCAATGATTTTTGTTGGTTCTCCTTTCTAAAATTCAGCATATCTTTTTATACTATACACTGGTTTATCCTTACTCATATTCCCTTGAAAATTTCCCTCTTTTTATCCTCGTAAGTGTCTCTCAAGGGCTACCGAAAAGAAAACACTGTTTAAACATCTTTGGTGACTTCAGCAGAGGGACTCAAACTTCTTATAGTATGGACTACATCTTACTAGATACGCTGGCTCATGAGCACCTTGCTTCCCCTTTATGGTCACTGATAATTTCTACAACAATTAGTTGTACGGAAAAGAATCGGAAGAAGGGGTTTGGTGTGGTGGTGGTAGAGAGGTCAGCATCAGGTGACCAGGCAGCTTTGTGTAAGCCAGTTTGAAAACGTTCTTTCTGCATGTGGAGGAAAAGAGAGGCTGTCTGCTTCCAAAGAACAAACCAAGGAAGTTTGGGAAGTTCTGTACACACACAGTGCATGCCATTAAGAATTTTAAAAGCCAATGGAGCAGATCAACCCCATTAGCATTATTGGAAGTTAGGTAATTATTCCTGCAGGTTTGAAAATTTTCAGACATTGTAATATACATTATATTTACAATTCTTTATGTATATATAGACAAATACTTTATATCCATAATGTACTTAACATATCCTGGTCCCTAATGTGAGGAACAATATACAACCATATCACTCAAGGATGAGCAGCTCACAAATATCTTCTACCATTATATACTGTAAATGCATGGAACTGTCTTATGCAACTCTCTTGGGCTTTTTGTTAGAGCTCCTTAAAAAAATATTATCTTTGCCATTTATTCAGGAAGATCAATTACAGTTGGTGAACAAGGGTATTCTGGAGGAAAACTGCATAACAGAATACAGTGCTCTTCAACCATGTGCAAATGCCGTAAGGGAAGTATATCTGTTTTTAATACTTTTGCTACAAGATGCAATGGAAGACAGACTTTTTATTATGACTTTTGTATTCTAATAGATGTGTTGGACTGGCTTAGAAGAGAGTCCTCCTTTCCACTTTCTGTTGGACACATTCCAAGACAGACTGAGCCCATGATGGGGCAGTTACACTACATGTGTTCCTAAGAGAAAATGTCTCAGCTGCCAGAACGTGTCCCATAGAACCATTCCATCAGCTGAGTTAAAACAGCTAAATATATGCTTCCATTTGCAATGGTGCGAGCTGAAATTTAGCATCTGGTCTTCAAAACAACTTAAATATGTCCTATGCTGCTTTATCTTGGTGGCTGAGATGGTCCCATGGCTTCATTCTAACATGGAAATTGCTGTTGTTAATACAGTCTTACTAGGCACCTCCACCATCAGGCACCTCCACCATCCAAGCCATTCTGCATAGTGAATCTCTACTGCATCTGAATAAAGGCCACCTGTATGGTACTCATGACCCACTTTTGGATCCTGTATGAATCTGCACTGAAAAAGAAATTAATGGGGCCCAGTATTAGGCTCATCATATAAAAATGGAAAACTGAAAGTGAGTCTTAAATTACAGGAAAATCAGAGTACTACAGTCTATGAGTTCCATGTCAGAATAATCCCACTAATACCTAATACAATTTTGGACACAGAATGCATTGTCCAGAGCAACCAATTTATTTGAATTTACTGAGTGCACTATTTGCAACTAAATACTCCCTTATGCGAAAAAGTCTTGGCTAATGTCTTAAAGTATAGCACGTGTCTAAGTTTTTACTGGACAGACACTGAATTTATACCCACGGGAAACAAAAAGGGTAACTTCTTTTTAAGAAGAATTTAAATTACATAGCTCAGTTCTCTTCCTTTCACCTCATGGAGTCTTATTGCCTCTCAGTAATTCCAGTATGCAAACACCTCACGAGCAAAGTTACTAAACCTTCTTCTGCTACTTGTTCAATTTTAACACCAACATTATGCATAAGATCCTCTTTTTTTTTCACAGGTTCAGCATAACAACTGATTACAATCAATGCACAAGATTGAACTGACCAAGCACAGATGCTTGGATATGAGCTTGTGATTTTGATCTCTTTGAATGCAGAGACACAAGTGCTTCTTTGGTACAATTCATCTGAGAAGTAATCAGATTTATCAGATGAGTTACATCCTACAAGGTACCACTTCTCGTCATTGATTAAAAAGGACTCTTCAAATGCAGACCTCCATAATCAGGTCTGCATTTGGTGAGAAGAATTCCTCCCAAGTGGTCTCACTGACACACAAATGTCTGCCTGAAAAGAGGAGACAGATTGAGTAAGGATGACTGATACAGTTTCCATGTCAGATGACCACTCCACTTGATTGCATGGACATCCAAGTTGCTTGTTAGTCAACTTTGGAAGCACGATGTTTGGCACATGATGATGGAAAGCTGGGGCAGTGCATTTGTCGTCCAAGAAACACTAAATTGGTCCTGCTTAGTAGTCAAAGCCCTCACTTTATCTATGTTTTGGAGGCTCAAGTGGTACATGAGTAGCGGTATGGATGGATTTAATTCTAGATTAATAACAATCAGATCTATGAGAAAGTTCTACGTGTTGATATTACTTGTAAATAAGAGCTACTTCTTTTTGTCCACATTGTAATGCTTTTTTTTTTCCTTGCTTGCTTATAATGCACACTGTATTTTGTGAACTTTCAGTTCAGTCATAAAGCACTCCACAATGTGGGCTAGATTCTCAAAACCAGCCTACTAGATTTGCTTAAATTTGTTATATTTAAACTCTAACTGCACCCTATAATATGCAGGATAACTAAACAGAGCTAATTTTTGCTTGAAAAAAAAAAGTAACAGAGAAAGCTACACTAGTTTCTCATATACAGTTGTGTCCTGCACAGAATTAAGTTCATGTTTGTAAAGTAACGCCTGTTGTTTATTGATTTTAAATTAAAAAAAATAGGAAAAAAAAATAAAACCCAAACAAACCAAGAGTAGGCTTGGAATCAGAGCAAGAATAAAATGCTTCCAAAGTGGGGGAAATATAAATTTGATCAAGCTAACTCTTACAAAAGTGTCGTACCACACCGCAACAACAAAAAACCAAGCTGTATAAACCCCCAAAATCCTGGATTTACAATGTTTTGAATAAATATCCTTATCCAAAGAATCCTTTGTTCTTTCCTGTCTGGTTACCCCAACTCTGTTTATATAAAAATATATCTGATTAATATATGTTTTAATTTTTTTTTCCATTGAAAATATATTTTCAGCAGTGTGAGAAATTTGGAAATGAATTTCCAGGTTGCCTGCAGATAACATGCCATTGCATCCTCACGGAAAGGAGAGTCTAAAAGTGCACATACATGGTTTGGATTACTTCTGAGTGATTTTGAAACCCCATTAACAAATAACAGACTCATACCTCCTCAATAATGTATTTAATTGTGAGAGAGGCTCCTTCCACAGATGCCACTTTTTTGGCCATGGAAGCAATGACAGGTAAAATGGATGACAAAATTATAAAGGAAAATCAACTTTTAAATTACTCTGTGAAGACAGTATTTTTCAGAAGGTTTCAGGTAAGTGCGATTTTCTTTCCATGAGAGAACCCTTCCCAAAAAACTATTCAGATGTGGAACGGGGGCAGAAATTTTTGAAGCGACAGTCACAGGAAAGAACAAATGTTTTTTCTCCCCACAAAGGCCTGTGATCCTGCAGAACACACATGCTTAGACGGTCCTATTGAGCTCAGCAAGACTATTCACACTGGCAAAATTACCTCTGTAGCTCAAATAGCACTGGAACTGCCCTTCTTTAAACAAGCTCTTCATATTGACACTGTAGATCCTAGTGAATCCTTATCTTTGGAAAACTTGCTCCTCAGTTAAATCTGTTTTTTTTTTTTTAACAAAAGAAAGAAAAATTTGCTTCTTGCACTACTGCTATCCCTTTTAAATTAATGCAGCTATTCCAACATAAAGTGACAAAAGTGACTGGGGCCTAGCATGTCTTACTCTGTGACATGCTAGGTTGGAAGCATAATCTTTTCTGAGCTGCTTTCTGATTTTCCTTCTTTGCCACCAATACACAGTGGCAGCCTTTCCCAAGAGTTAGGAAACACATTTTGATTTACAAGCTGTAAATTAAGCAGTAAATATCACTATGATTACATAAAGTACATAGTTCATTTTGATATATACATATATTATACTAATTACCCAAATGCACATTTTAATGGAAGAGCTGTAATACTTGAATATATTTGGAATGCCACATAACTGGAAAACATCCTTCAGACTATATATAAACCAACAAAAGCATCTGCACCCAGTTTACATGGGACATGCATGTGGGTCTGTGCATGACTTCTGCTGTGCGCTTGTTCCCCTGTTCCCAGGAGTGCATATCCCATGCAGAAAGTTGGAAACGTAGCCCAGCACGTCTGTGTAAGTTGTCTGAATAAAACATAAAAGCTGTGAGTCTTAGAGAGGTACAAATACCATGTTAGGCCTTTATGGACATTTTCTTGCATGTAAATATGGCTATCGAAGGGTTCTAAAGGTAATTGTCTTGATGTCACTTAGATATCTGTACTAAATGAAGGTCTAGCCTATAGTAACCAGAGCTCCATTTCAGCAGTCTGGTTTTCACTTCTAAAAGCAGTCAGTAGGCTCAAGGCAACCTGTTATTACACTGCTGTCCTACATCTGCTTTTCTGCCTACGTACAAGGTAGCTGCACACTGCTGCATGTAACTTCCAGCACTAGTTGGTGGTTGTACCATTGCCCTCGACTGGAGGATGATATGCTGGTCTGCTCCCATGGGAGTAGTAAGCACATCACCCCACTGATGGCTGGCCTTCTAAGGTCTACTACCACTGATGGAAGTTATGCTTAGTTCAAGCAGCAGAGGCCTGCACTTTTAGAACAGAAAGCTTTCTGAAGTCTGTGGCCACAGTATAGCTGACAAACATGTTTCACATGTGGTTATAGAAACATTACAATCAGTTTTCCAGTGAATACGTGCCACATAGTAGAAGCAAATGCTGAGTATTTAAGAAAAAAAACCCCAACCAAAAACAAAGGAAAAAAAAGAAGTTCTAGGATGGTGAAGAATCCCAAGAATGAACAAGTCTCCCAACCTAATCTAAAATTTAAAGCATAAAAAGTGTCAAGTGCTAAAGCAATTAAAAATCAAGGACCTGAAGATTTCAAACAGATTTCTCTCACTATCCTCCCAATTGTTCACACAATGAAAATTCACTACATAAAATCAGTCATTCCTGCAAACAATATTAACACTTTGAGGCACCAGCTTATCAGCATTCAAAGTATTATAAAGTAATACAATGATAGGACCCATACATTTGGATTTAGTTAAGAAATAAATAGTTATGTCAAACTTTTTTGATTGCACATTTGGTATTGGAAGTTACATGGTCACAGAACATGAAAGAAGTCAAATACTTTTTGATCTACCAGCAAACTCTAAATACATCGATAAAGAAGCCACACCAGGCCAAATAGATTATTACTTTCAAGGAAGTTCATGAAAGTTTCCCAAATACTGTTATACAAAGTTACACATCCATGCTGAGTTATTCATCAATGTGTAGCAAGAGTCTTGCAGTAGGCCAGGATTTTATTGGCAGGTAACTGGTGGAGGAGCTACGCAGTGTGATTAAAAATTCCAGTTTGGAAGCATTAACACAGAAGTACTTTTATAGTCTGAACTGGAGACTGCAGTTCTTGAAGTTAGGAAGAGCAGAAGGGAAGATTGGGAATATTTTCCATTTTAGAAATGCTGAGGCACAAAACACAGTTGATTTGAGTACTTTCATACATGAAATCCTTTCTCCTGTATGTGCATCATGTGTAACCGCAAAGTCTGTAAACTGCTGACTATTCGTCTCTGGTGTCCAATGAGTACAACTCCAATTCTTCTAACGTCACTGCAAGATAAAAAGTTTCAGCTTGGATGCAAGTCAAGTCTCTTGTACACAAAAGGGTATAAATACAAGGTGAGTTGCTCTTCTTCAGGACAGTTTACCTTCCTGTCTGGGACACATAAGAAAGCTGCAAATGCTCAATTCCAAGTTTTTAAAGACAGACATTTAAGGAAATAAAAAGAAATTTTGCAGTTAGAGCAATGGTCAAGTGATTTTTCCAAATCTTGAGGAAGAACCTGAGAGGTGGGATCTAATAGCCCATTTTTAGTAATGTGTTATTAGCAAATGTATACTTGCAAAGGAATGGGGCTGATACACTCACTCTTGCAGTTTTGAAGTGGCAATAACAGAGGCTGTGCTTCTGATGATTTGGGAATCAGAAACCCCAACCCTAACTGCAGTGGTGACAGATGTTCTAAAAGGTCGGAGTAGCGTTAACCCTTCCAGCTTGACCCAGATTTGCCCTCCTGCTTTCCCTTCATCTCATCTAGACCTGCACCCTGGAGTGGGTAGCTCACCCACTGAGCTCGACTCTTCGGCAGGAACGAAGTCAACAGCCCTCAGCATCCAGTACAATCCACTAGTTCAGTTGTTCTCCAAACATCACCAACTGCAAGATGCTGAGAAAGATCACAAAGGTGGCAAGGGCAGGAAACTTCAGGTATGCCTTGTCAATTGTGCAAATCCCACACTGGGACATAGTATAGACATTGCCTGTATAGATACCCTCAAAATTGTTTGACAATATAGCTAGTAAAGTAGCTTACAGGATGAGGCATGACCTTTATGGGTTTCAGATTTGCAGTACAAGATACCTGCCTCTGTATCCTCCAGATAAAGAGCCACCGGATAGTAGCAACTATTATGTACTTAGGCTTAACATCCACATAGTGGAGGATACACAACACTTAGGGTCAGCAGGGAATATGCAAAAATATTGGGATCTTAGAATCAAAAGAGAGTCAGACAAGAGAATAAAACCTTTACAGAGGGAGTGTATTAGAAATGCAAATACAGGAAGGTCTGATAAAGTTCAGAAAGAAGCCAGCAGGCCTAGGGTAATGGAGGTTATTTGGAGAAAGAAGGAATCTTTTAAAAAGCTGGAGTGGTATCTAAAGCAAGACGAAAGGATGATAACCTTAGAGAGATTATCGGTAAAAGCACAGTAAGGCAGGCTAAATAAGAGCTAGAGGAAGAAGGAAAAAACACCTGATAATAAAACTCATAATGAACCTTTTGGCAAACTCACTGGGTACAAGCAGCCTGCCAGAGTGTCTGTAGAGTCTAATGATGGGTATAAAAGAGCACTGAAAGACTGGGCACTGTCGGAAGACTAAACCGATTATTTGAGCTGATATTCACTGCGAAAGAAATCAAAGTGACTCCTGTGCCAGAACCTTTATGGGGACTCGCCAGAGGATCTGGCTGAAATTGAAGTGATTGCAGGAGGGGTTATAGGACAAATTGTAAAACCAAGCAACAACCCACCTCCAGAACAATATTGTGTTTAGCCAAGAGTTTTACAAGAGCTTAAGGATGAAATAGTGGAATTACTAACAGGGATGTGAGAGCGGGTTATCAGCTGTGTTCCACCTGCCTAAAAAGTTCTTAGTGCCTGAGGCATGGAGAGTGGTGCCAGACAAAAGGAGAGGTTTCTAGAGGAGATCTGGGGAACCACAGATCTGTGAGTCTGAAGTCATTACAGGGCATAATAGAAACCACAGTAAAGTACAGAATTATTGGATGCTTGGGTAAATTATCTACTGGAGTCACCACAGCTTTTGCAAAGAGAAGTCCTGTTTTAGAAAGTTACTTGAGTTCAATGGAGGAGTCAGCATACATATGGATGAAGGCAATTAATTTGATACACCCCACTTGGATTTCCAGAAGCTTTAGAGAAGATTCCTCATCAAAGCTTTATAAGGAAAATAAGGAGCTATGGCACAAGAAGCTCTTTGCATGACTAACTGGTTTAAAGTCAGGAGGTTAGGGGTAAACTGTCAAGTTTTACAATGTAGTCATCAATAGAAACCTACAGGGATCTATACTGGGATAATATTGAACAGTCATGTTCAAGAAATCAGTAAATGGTCTGGAGAAAGTGGCAAGCACAGCGGTGAAAAAATCAGTTGATGAGACTGAATTGTTCAGAGTAGTAAGGGAAGGGACCAGCTGTGATGAGTTTTAGAAGGATCTCACCAGACTAAGTGCCAATGCCATAAAGCAGCAAATGAAATCTAATGTGGGTGAATGTAAAGAGATGCACATGGGACAAAACCGGTCCTAACCTCACGTGTAAAATTACTGACTCATAACTGACCATTACCAGTATTAATACAGACAGTCCTAGCATCAAATAGAAGATTAGGAATTCATGGGAAAGGAATAGAGGGCAAAACATATCATATCATTATGATTCCATATTAATCCACAGTTTGCCCAAACCCCTTATATACTGAGTGTGGGATTTTCATCTCAAAAATTCTACAGTAACGTCAGAGATGGTTGCAGAAGGGCAGCAAGGAGAGGAACAAATGCCTCATGAGGACTGACATAGGCGTGATGATGTTAATAGCAAAGTAAGAACGGGTTTTTGCCACGGATTTCAGTGGTCAGAACTGATGCCCCAAGAAACATTTCGGGATGCTCACTGCCTGGCCTTTGGTAGCGTTTGGCTTGGTCACAGAATAAAGCTGCGTTCTGTGTAACTTAATCATATCTTTCTCCAGTGGTGTTTTGGTAAAAACCTGTATTTGTCTGTTATTAGCTTCAAGTAAGAAAGGAAATGAAGGCACTGTTCCATACATCACTGTAATTATGTCACTGCAGCATCCAAACAAATTCAGATCTATTAATCACTGTAGGGATAACAGGTTACATACTTACTCAATACTCATTCTTGAGACCATATCCAAAGTTGTGAAACCTGCTGCCATGAAGTTATTTTTATACTGACCCATTTTTATGGAGTCCAGCCAGTCACTGACTGAAACAAACAAAGGATATTCTGGAACTTCACCAGGTGAATCTGGCATTCTGTAAACACAAAACGCAAAGGTTACCAAAGCACTACAAAATACAACAACTTACTCTGGTAGGCATTATTTTTATTAAAGGGCAGAAGGAATGAGAGAAGAGCCTGAGCTGTAAAGGTCAGGTATTAACTGAGGATCTCTTTAACCCATTGCCTGTAACTTAAGAATCATGTCAGTGTGCCAAGCTGCACTACTTAAACAATACATATTTTTAAACCACTGCAACTCAGTAACAAACTGAGGAACAAAGCTCTCCCACTGCTTTTATTTTTGTTCCCCCAGAGTGTTTCTTTACATGTTATATGTTCAGGATTATAATGGTTTGTAAATACAGTAGTCAAAGTGAAGGACAAACTGAATTTAACATGAGATAACATTTAAAAACATTAAAACACCGCAAGATGATTTTCACATATATCTACTAAAAACCTCACCTGAAACGGCTTCTTATTGCTACACCATTGTGCAATGGGAACACTTTGATTAAAAGCCTAAAACTAACATTAGAAGAAGCAAAAAGAATGAAATTTTGTATCTTTGCTTTTACACAATTATATAAAGCAGCAAATAAAACCGAAGGAGCTAATTTAGTCCCATTTCTGTTTCAGGTCTTTTCCTTAATATTAGTGTGACTTAAACAGAAAGATGGAGAAGCCCACTGAAGTTCCCAGAGAAAACTATGCAGGTGTTCATCAAAGCACCTTTATCTAAAGGTGAATTTCAGCTAAAGAAGAGAGTGATGGCACCTGGACCTTCACCCATCTCAGCCGATATCCAGGGACAGCTTGGATCAATAAGCGTACAAAAGCTGACAGCTTCTCCTACCACAGCCTTGCTTCTCCCATGGCTGCAGCATACATTTCTGTAATATTATTAAAGGAAAAAAAACTTTGGGCAACAGTATCAAGAACTTGTTGTGGAATGGTGATAACATAATGTCTTATTCATTCACTGTTGCCATTCTTCTGCAGATAAAGATTTAGCAAGCTAAGACACAGCTACTTTCTGCAGGAAATTACTCCAAGGCAGTTCAGAAATTGCTTGAGCACTGTCAGATGGAGAGACAGGCTGTTTGAAGGGAGAGGAAAAATACTACAAAGAGAAAACAAGCACAGAGGAGAAGCACCAAGAAAAACCCAAACAAACAAAGCAATTCACAAAGATGAAGGACAGAGCACGCAGAGCTCAGACAAAAATAAGAAAAATAACAATCTGCACAACTTGAGAAAAAGAGTCCTTATACTCAGTGTATTAATAAAACAAGCCTTAAAAGTGGCTTGAAGTTATTTGCAACCCCATAACTGTGTGAATTCAGAACTTTGCCGCTCTCTCCCACCCCTACTTAATGCCCTAAACCATCTAAGGATAGCCACTATGTGTTACACAAACAATAAAGTACCAAAAAGGGTCTTACACAAGTACATCCTCCACTAGCGTGTGAAGGGTGCTGGGATTGCGGATCAGTTTGTCTAGGAAGTTGACAATGTCGCTAAATTTTGGCCGGTGGTTCCTCTCCTTTTGCCAGCAGTGAAGCATTAGTTGGTGAAGAGAAGCTGGGCAGCCCATGGGAGCTGGAAGCCTGTAGCCTTCTTCAATAGACAGTATAACCTAAAGAAATACAACGCATACGATTGCTGGGCATGAGAATTAAATGCTGAAAGGACAGTGTAAAGTTGACAATTAGAAACCGGCGATAAGAATTAACAGCACAGTTACCCTCACTTGTATGGGCTTCACGGAGGGAAGTGTATGGCAATGTCATGATATAATGAAGCACTACAAATGCACATTACATCACCTGGCAAATTTACCTGGTCATAATATGCTTCTGGTGATCACTATGGTTAGGATGTCCAAGCTGTTTATGAGTTAATAAAATTATGGTGTTACCATATAACCTGAAGTGTATATGGTAACTTCTAGGTTCAAGCTGATGTGAAAAACATGTTTAGGCAGGATGTAGAAACAAACAGATCTGATGTCACAGATAAATCAGATGTATGAAAAATCACATTTGCTCAGAATTGAAGGAGAGGCTTGTTTTTAGTAAAACAAAAAACATTGCCTGAAAAGGACATTAGCAGCCCTCATGTCCTAATGTGTGATAGGAGGTAGCAAAGTAGGTAAGGTCCATGATAAGCTGTCTGGATTCGTTCTACGTAAGATTTAAAAAACCAAGAGGGAGGGTTACGAGGCTCTGCAATGAGTGATAGTAGCAGTGGGGACGATAGAAATTACAGTCAGGATTTCTTGTATATAAAAGAGTAGAACGAGAAGTGATCGATCAAAAACAAAGCTAGGAAAAAGACCAACCCTACCACACACACATATTCCTTCCATGTAAAAATCCAACCAGTACTAAATGTTCCCTTAAGTACAAATCATTGTACACAATATTTATAATAACACAGTGCTGTTATGAGAAACATACCCACTACATCCATACCTATTCTGCTTTAAGGAGACATTTATCATCCTCCTACATGCTGCAGACATATTAATGCAGCTGGAAAGGGGTACATTAAACTGTTTACAGCAAATCAATGTTTTATAGCACTAGCTGTAGCTTCAATATATTCAATCTTATTATCCTGGAATATATCCTCATTCTCTTTTTAGATTCTGAATTAAGGTTGTGGGTTCTGTTTAGCAATGCCTAATGCTTATGCTGCAAGCATTATGCAAATAAATAAGAGTAATGAGGCTACATGAGGACCTTAGCTCCCTTTCATAGCATGGTAGAAAATGGAACAAGACTCTTGTAGCTGTACACAGCTGGGTCTCTAGTTTTATCAAATGAGGTGATTTGGTCCTACAGTGTATAGTCCTCTTGTATCCTGGCAGAAACACCTATGCATGAAAAACAAGTGTCTGCAGGGCATTAGGTTTGCATAAGGTAAGTTTTAGCCCCATCAGCAATAGCAGTGGGATGTACAAGCTACTCCAAAGGCAGTGTTACTTGCCACTGGGATCTCTGAATTTTACCCATACATGAGCATTGGCAGATCACATATGTGCAGACAGACCTAGCCATGCACATACAGAGGTAATATCTAGCAGTGAATGATTTGTCAACGTGATAATCCTTCCACCAGCTTTTCTGGCTACTTGTTGATCTCCCTGGGATTTTACTTCAGTGGTCCAAAATCTGGACTGCTGAAATGGCTGCTACAGGAAAAAATACCATGAGGTTGCCAAAGAAATATTCCCTCCAAAGCCTTGCTTCCTGATGCTGAATATGCATCTCTAGATCTCCAGATTGATCCTGTTACAGACTCAGGATGGGTGAAATTCAACCCTCCGTGCACAAAATGTTATTCACGAAACTGTCAAAGCTCACGTATCTCAAGCAGGTTGTCAAAGGCGGCTTCATAAAACACAGGTGCTTGTTACAGTGTGGGGTATAGCTTAGTTGATACTTGTCACTGAAGAGGCAATCTTCAGCAGCCCAGAAATGCAGCTATTCGCGTCTTTATACTTAACTATACCGGCTAAAAATGATGAATTTATGAGATGTAATTTGGTTTTAAGGCTTCTCTACTTTTATGAGACATACAGCATCTGCTCAACACAACAATAGAGAGCTGATGAGGTTCTTCCACAATAATTTATTCCGGAAAAAAACCCCAAAGCAACCCCAATTTTACAGACGTTACATTTTCTCTGACACACTCTCTTTTACCGGATCTTTGCAAAACAAGTTACAGTGCATTTGTTTCCTCTCTTGTTCAGAAGGAACATTTCAGTATGAAGAGAAATGCCAGCTGGTACTGGCATAATTATAATTCCTCATTAATACCAGCACATTTTAAAAATAAACTACAGCTATTGCCTCATTAGTATCCCTTGTGAAGCAAGTACTATTTTTAGAGTCTAAGAAGCAAGAGTAAAAGTGTGCAAAGTGTCTAGTACTGCAATGGGAATCGAGTCTCTAAGGAAGAATTAGAGCTTTTTAGCTCCCTATTTCCTTATTTATTTTAGCTCCCGCTCTGCTACTTGCATAGCACCTATCTCTGAACAGATGACTTAGATATCCATATACCTAAAGGAAAGAAGTATTAATTTTTTCCTGGTAATATAAAACTGTATGGTATATAATATGTAAAGATTCTACATGTTAAGATCTTTTCCATGCTTTTTTTCCTTCTCAGTTTAAGGCTGAAGAAGCACCACATGAATTGGGAAATGGTCTAAATGTCTGTTTTCTACAAGGGGCATATAGCAAGAGCTCTAGCAATCGGTGTAACACTTCCCACATTGGCAAATCAATGTCCCATTTATTTCAACCTGAAAGAACAGGAGTATCAACATAGTTCCTATGCAAATGGATCCCTGAGTCTGCTAACAAAAAGGCTGGTTACTGTTCTCTAGCTCTGGCTTTGTGATGAACACTTGATGGGTATCAAAGGAGGAAAACATGCAAATATTCTGTGCTGCCTTCAAACACTGAGAAAGAGGCTGTAGGTATTTTTTCAGTGATCAGTAACTTCAAAACTCCTTGGAAGGTCTTGTGGGTCAGCATTCATGTGAGTAAAACAGCCAGGGTGCATTTTTACAAGCACTGCTTTTTAGCAGCTAAGAATATAAAGTGTAAGGGAAAGGGAGTATTTTTTACAGTTAACAGAGCTAATGATGTCCATGCTTTTTAATGCTCATGCTTTTACTTCTATAAAAAGGGGACAAGTCTTTTTACATATTTTTGAACACAGATGATATTAAACACTGGAGCCTGTTAAATACATTTTATCATTTTTTTTTGGATGATGTTAGACAATGCTGTAAAGGTTGAAGACAGAGCTGTTATTAAATATGAATTATAATACAAAATTACCTGAACAATAGTTTATGGACTTCTACCTGATATTTATGCGAGTTTAGTTTTAAAATAGTTGCAAGTTGGCAAAACCTGCACCTGAAAATTAAGCTGTAATCTTTCTGATAGCTTCATTATTAAGAGTAACATAAACTTTTGCTTTCCAAAGGTAACTGACAGATTTTTTAATGAGACTGAGGCAGAAGAAAGTCCAGAGGGACATTGCCCCTGTGTCCTGCTGACATCTGGAAAATCTACCAGGAGGGAGAGACAGCTGCTCGTGCCTCATTGGTCTGGAGCCAATTCCAGGTGCCTGCCAAGTGTTTTGGTATCTGTGGGTTGAAAGAACTGTATTAGGGGAAGTTATTTTTACTATTGCAAGAAACTTTCATGAGCGTCAGGGCTTTTATTCTGTTTCTTACAGTAGTTTTCTTGCATATTGATGCCAAGCCATTAAATATTCTGTCTTTTCTTTTCTAATACCATAGTTCTGCAATATGCACTAATTTATACAGTGCTCCCTAACAGGGGTCCCAGTAGACTTCACTCACAGCTGTTCTACAAACCAAATGCACGGAACATAAATCTTCCTTTCCTCACATGAGCATCAGCAAGGCAGGCTCTTAGCGCAATCTGTTCATCAGCACCCTAGTTTCCTTGGAATGTTCAATATCTTAGCTAATGTTTATTAATTAAGCAATAAGACACGACAGACTCTGCAGCAGCCCTAATTAATGGACACCTCTGGTGCATGCCACACAACTAAGAAGTGCATTAATCAGTATCAACACAGGTCGGAAGTGACTTCCCACAATAATAAAATGGTTATTTACTCAAACAAGAACATTCCTCAACGTCAGTAACAGTTTTAAACCTCTACATTATACTGTATACAGTACTAAAAAATTTACAAGAGGCATCTTCAAATCCAGTTCCCCAAAGTTCAGCTTCCAAATCCCTGCTTAGGAACATAAAGAGAGGACACTAGATCTGCAGAGGTGTTGAGTCTCTGTGGCTTGCACTGACCCAATGGGTACTTGTGAACAGTTGTAGCCTCTCAAAATCAGACTGGGCTTATTTAGGTGGCAAGGATTAATTTAACACAACACAGAGTCCAAGCTGATGTGAAACCTGTGCTGGCTCCTTGTGATTCCATTGCTGCGACTGAGAGATAAGTCATAGAAGCATAGAATCCACAAGAGACTCTTGGCAGAGGTAGCTCAGCCCTACTCTTCATCTGACTGAAGATATGTTCACATGACATACAGGCACAGCGTTGAACTGGCCTTCCCGGGCATTGCTTCCCTTTGGGTAGGGGTGGGCATATCACTGGCTTCTATGTTATGCATGTAAGAAATGAACGTTTAACTGTCAGCCACTCAGAACATCACTTAGCTATCGTCTAAAAAAGTGAACTGATTTCCTGAAGTTGGTTAATTAGAAAAGCAGTTTGTAAAATGGAATGTGGAAAACCAGATCTGGCTCTGTGGAGTTCATGGAGTACTGGAAAACCAGTCCTTTACAAAACCCCACCCAACTTAATAAGCACTTCATTGCCAGCTAGAGAAGAGTTTCACTGTGATCGAAACACAGCAAGTGTAGTAATGGTAATGTTGCTATTTTTCTGTAGCAGAACCTCTGACTGTACTTTTGTACTTACTAACTGCTGTTTGCACAACGTGTCCTTTATGAATCTGTTTAGTGCCTGCCCCTCTCTGTTATTTCCCTGCCCATATGTACGGTATCAATGACCTTTGGGAAAGCTCTATTATTTCCACAAAATAAGTTCATGTGA